CTATTAATTAAATAATAGATCTGCCATTTAATTGTATTAATTATATATAAAAGTATTTATGTCCAAAGTCGATTGGACCTAGGATATAATACTTACAGTAACACTCCGGTCAATTAGATGGAGCCACATGGATTAATCCAGTGGTGGCTAGTTTGGCTAAGACACTATAAATAGAAGCTTTTGTAACATTGTAAAGGATGAGAAAATATACATGCAAACATACATTATTGATTCCTCTCTACAAATGCTTGTTCGAACCATCCTTTTCTCAAATTGCTTTCGGTCATGAATATTTCATTCCTATATTTGTGTGTGTAACTGAAATCTGAATCTCCTAATCCGTTCAAAGTCTACCTTAATCAACTTATGTGGACGTCAGCTAAGATTGACAGATGTTGACACATTTTTAGGGGTCAACAAAAAACATGCAGAAGATCTGATCTGAAAATGTTTCTACTCATGTATTTTAATCAACTTTTCAATTTTCATTTCTCGTTATCTCTGTTTGTTCCTAACTTGTCCTTCCATATTTTGAGTTTTGCATGAGCCTTCCTTTGCAATTTGCAATAGTCATTATTACAAAGAATTTGATCCCGCTGTAAAAAGTATAAACAGAAATTCTCTGTAGGCGAAGCACTCTTGTAGAGGAGTTATTTTCTGTCTATTTTGAGTCTTGACCATCCTCTATATTGTTTCAGTTTTCAAAAATGATAAACGGCAGAAATTTTGTGGAGCTTTTTATTTTAGAAACATAGAATTTTTGAATTATCGAATGTTCTCTACAATTTACATGCTGAATGTTCACATTAAATTCTCTTAGTGAACCGTAAAATTAATTGTTTCTTCATGTCATACATTACTTTCCTTGAGAAAATTAAAAACTTCAACCTGGAAGGTTCTCGTACCTGGAGTAACCTCTAAGCTAATTGAGATTGGTGGCAATTTTGATGATTTACCGGAACTTAGCTTATGCCAAATTGTTGGATCCTTTTATATTTTAATCTTTGGTTTCAATGATGAAATACTATTTTCTATGCAAATGGGACTTCTGTTTTCACAAGGGCTCTGTGATTGAACATCTTGATGGTCATACTGTTATAGTTCACAAGCTCCTATATCATGATTGCCTACCTTGGTCTGGTTCATGCGTCTCTATGAAATTTGTTTCTTAGTTTCTATGACATTTGATGCATGAGATACTTTTTGCAGGGGTATGAAGCAAAGAGATCTTCTTTTGCAGTGCTATTGGAGAAGGGAGGATTTTGGAACATATGGCAATATTGTTATCTCAAATCAAACAGTCAATTCACCAAATGGTCTACTCAATTGGAAGATAACTTTCTTTTTTTTTTAACTTGCAATGATTCTGCACCATTCTGTGTTCCACCAAAAGTGTCCACCTTGAAAAGGCTATGTCCGTGCCTGCCTAAAAAGTAACGAATGCTAAACATATGGTACTAGTGGAAAATTGTTATATCTTTTTCACCCTTGGATATACAAGGTTTTGTTGGGCTTCACTGGTAGCTTGTGTTTTACTTGCATGGATACTCAAGTACTTGTGTCTTACAAATTGACATCTCACATGCTTATGAGCTTTAATCATTCAATGTTTATTTTACTGGACTTGTGTTACAGGCTCAGTTACTCTATAATTGAACTTGTTTGACTGATGAGATGACATTTTGCACTCATCACAGGTGGTGGCTATGTGATTTCTCCATCAAATCAAGTGAAACGATCAGTAGTGAGGCACATGCTTGCTATTGACTGGAAATTCTGGAAATCATATATGCAGACATCATCAGCCTGATCTGTAACAGTTTGTATGTTAGAAGGCTAGTCGGGTGCTTCCTAATCTTTGTCTCCCCATTTATGCCAATGCAGTTGTTTTTAAATCTATTTAGATATTTATATTTTGTGACTCTTTTGCTTTACTGTTGTCTCTGTAGCCTTGCGGGAATTGTTCACAGCAAAATCAGATTTCTTATCATCTGATTTCTCATCGGTGAGCTAATGAGAGAGTAGCTTGTTACAAAGTAAACAAGAATTGAAGGTTGAAGGCCAAAATAAGCTGGAAAATGTGAAAAGAATTTATTAGAATTTCAATATATTCTGATAAATGACAGAGTTTTGCTTTCTAGCCTCACTGAATTTATTGTTATATGTTACTCTTCCCAGATTAAAGCAAAAGGCACATTAATGGAAATGGTTGTCGCTGACTGGTAGAGATCTGACAAGCGAGAAGATGATCTTGGTGACCACCCTGGGGGCATAGATCATGGTTCATGTAGTGATCAATGACTGAAAAGAAGCTGCTATGTCTAATATGTAGAAATATGCAGCAAAGGGAGACACAGAATTCCTTTACTGTGAACATACAGGTAATGGACCTCTTTCACTTGAGTATATTTACTATTTGGAGGTATAAGGATAATCTTTTATTACTCATTTTCATTTTAAAAATCTAGGTTCCAGGTTCAACAACATATAGCCTTACTTTATACTATATGATGAGTACTCCTATTGAAGATTCTCCCTTGCTAGAGAGTTTTGTCAAAGGGGATGATGCTTATCTAAGGTCAATGCAGTTAATGTTGCATGCTATTGCATTGAACTCATTGGTTAGTTTTTCTTTTCATTTGTCTGCTCATTATAATTTGCAGTTGAGTGTTCACTCAATTTTCTCTTGCTTTTGGACCAGTCTTTCATAACTTATATTTTCCTTATTTTCTCTTGTTTTGCTTTTCAATATGTCACTGATTATTTGAACCATGGAATTCTAGTTTTTATAATTCTTCTTTATGACAAAATTGAGGTGTATCTCCTAATCACTATTCTCTTGTTCGAATACTCATTAACTATTCACTTGGCCTTCATTTGGTTTAAGTAAAATGTAGACACACTTATTGAGTTTGGGGTTTGTCATTTATTGGTGCTATCACAAATTTATTACCAATATGAAGGATCATTGGAGATGAGTTGAACTTTGATAAAGATGTGGAACAGTTGTATTATTAATCATATCTAACTTACTGTTACCCTGGACTTCCATTTCTGTGTGGAAAAGAAATGGGAAATTAGCTTAGAGTTTTCCTTCGACCTCTCAGTGCAGGATGTCATCGCCTCTTTATTATCAGTATTGTGTGTAATTGGATGCCATCAAGCTTTAATCTGCACTGAAGTGTGCTGTCTTACTTCTCTTGGTTGGTATTGAACATCAGTCTTGATGATTCTTCCCCTAGTGAAATTTAAGAAATCCCCAGTCTATCATTTATTGTGCTAAGAATATTTTTATTGTGTGATTGAATTCAAGGCTGAAGTTAGGATAACTCAAATGGTGTTGCTGAAACCTACATGAGCTGCTGCAATATATGCTTTTACAGGATTTGTTTAACAATTGGATTTGCTTGATCTGAATTCCTCGAGTTTTAGATCTTTTCTACATGGTGGTGTGGCCGTCTGACAATGTCCAATCAATTATGAAGGCTAGCTTTTTGCAACCAAGTTACTGACAAAACCAAGTAGAATTTGTTCAATCTGAGCCTGTAACGTGTTATACTGGATTGTTTGCCCATACCATTGTGAAATTATTTTGTGTATTTGGTATGATCAATTGAGAAATATGGTTCTTTTGAATGTGATATGTAAATCCGTGGACAATGTAGACAAATATTATGTGAAGTTGCCACTTGAAAATTTACACATGGAAATGTCAACACGTCATTTATCAGATCCTATCTGTTGCCAGTTTCATAAAAATAGTCATCTACGATGTTTTTTATTAAACAATTCATGTCCTCACTAGTCACCACCAGCAATCAAAACGTGAAACTCATATAATGATAGCTTCAATCTATTTTGCATGGCTCATGGATAGTCAAACAGAGTGTTGGGAAGAAAGCATGCCTTATTGGTCAAGCACTAGAAATTAATTATTTTCGTGGAAAGAACTACCTGGAGGTATTGTTCAAGTGTAATTTCATCTTGGTCCACCTGCTGATTCTCTATCCTCTTTTCCATGCGGACATCGACCCAAATTAATTTGCTTCTTGTTTTATTTATTGATGTCTTTTATTTCATTGGGCTTGTTTAGTAGGTCTAGCCCAAGCCCGTGAATATTAGGTTTCTTTTGTTATTTATATGTTGATAACTAAAATTGCAAGACAGTTTGATGAATGAATTAAATTGCATTTGGTTTGTAGCCATGTTTTCTCTCTCCTTCTTCCCCTATTTCTCTGTTTCGCCCTTCTCCCTCCTCTTCCTAACAGTCATTTCTCTTCTTGTTCTTCTTGCTGTGGTTAATTCTTATTCTGACTTATTGGTCCTACATCAAAGTTAAACTTGAGTAATTTTTCTTCATCCATTTCATACATACTCCATACACACAACCAGTAAACCCATCACCTGCTGTTGCAATTCCCTTTTCCCGGTTCGCCAGTGCTGCTCAAGAACCACTAGATACAATTCCCACCAAATAATTCCATAACCCACAAAGCAATCAGTCGCCACTGCCTCCCTCCTCTCTTACAATAACCATAACTTCATCATTGAAAACCGCCCACATACAAAACCAACTACCGCTGTTGGTTACAAATGCTATGCAATATATACGACACCGCTGTTGGTTACAAATGCTATGCAATTCAGTCAACAACCGCTGTTGGTTACAAATGTTCACCGCAACGTTACATACACCACACCAATTCCCACTTGACTGAACTCACAACTAGCCAAACCTATTAACCTCTGCAGCTTATACATGTATTCCCACACACACCAAAGTGACAGTCGCAGTCATTATCACCGTCGTCTCCCTGCTTCCCAGTAGCCATTGTCGTTCCGTTCGCCACCAGCCCTAAATCTCACTGATTAACCCAATCCCACTTCCAGTAAATTCGGTCCTCCACGCTGGCGACCCACCCAGCCGCAATGCCCAACCATACCCTCCCAAAAAGTTGCCGTCATCTCAGACGCAGGCGACTTCCATCAATTACTGACTTCAACATCCAATCCACCACCCGCCAGCTACTTCTAACTGATGACCCAAGCAATTAACTTCCTCTAAGTCTCTACCACTATCACAATCGTTGTCAATCGAGCCTCCCAACTCTGATCGACGCTGTTTCTTCACAGAAAATCGACAGCCCACAATATACCTCGTAGTGTTGGGCCTACATTATTAATATATGCACTTAGGCTCAGTTTTGTGCTTTGGGCTGAGTTATTGTCATGCTTGTTGTATGTAAATTAGTTTGATTTCGTAAAGGAAAAAAAACCAAAATAAAAAAAATTTCTTACATTATTTGCATATGATTTTCTTTTTATTCCTGTTGATTGACACAGTCGCTAGGACGATTCAGTTGTCGCTTTGCCACCATAGTCGTGTCTATTATGAGATTCATGATTACATCATTGTTTGGCTCTTGTAAGTCCCTTTAGGTAACAATTTTATTATATTGAATATATGCTTTTATTTTAGGGGGATGTATTCAATTGGGACTTTTAAAAATTTAGGGAGACTTTTTAAAGTGGATGAATTTTGTGGACTTTGTGGAATTTTAAGTGATTTCTATGTATTTGATAGGAATTAATAAAAGTTTTTTCTGGATTTGTGGAGACTTTTATTATGGACTTTTAAAGATTTTGAAGATTTTTGAAGACTTTTTATATTTTTTAAAAGAATATA